CCTGCCTGGTCTTCATTTTCCTTTTTTTTTGGTGGAATCGGCTCAGTGCCTTTTACTTTAAGCAGGAATTCAACACTACATATTTTGTTAAGTCAGAAATAAATCTGAATTTTAAAATCTTTGAACTGTAACCCCTCAGTTGGATAGCTCTAAGAAATTTTGAAAAGTGTCATTAGTATATGGTGCCATCCATGTTGGAACTGTTTTTCAGAATGTTTTTATATCATATGCCCCTTAAAGTTTTCCTTGACCTGTACTTCAGAAGAAAAAGTATTTCTTTGTTTAAAAAAAATCAAACTGTTACTAATTTTCAAATTATAAAGTGATGGTTATACAAAATTTAAGTACTGTAAGCCTTGTCAATAGATTTAATTGTATCATTTTCATATGAATAAAATGTGATGGATGTGGCTCAAAAGTTGATTCAGACTCAAAGAGAACTCCCCCACAGGCAGTTGAGTCTTACACAGCTCTTCCTCAAGTTGATGGAAAAAGTTCTGTGTACCCACATAGAGACTGCTAAATTTCTGTCCTGTATACATAGACTTTAGTATCTATGTGGGCCTTTTGAAATCAACTGGACTCCAGAGAGAGACTTGTTTGGAGAAGATTGTCGTAGCAGGGATTTACCTATATTATCTATATATATCTATGCATGTATGTGTGTATATATATGTATGTGTGTGTGTATTTATGTGTACACATATATTTATATATACGTATAAAGGCTAGCCTTCACTAGGTGTTACAAAGGAAGATGTTATTTCTCTTCAAGAATTTCCTAATAATCTTTATGTGCAAACTTTCTGATAGATCAAAACTCACTTGTGACAAACTAATCATATGGTACTTTGCAATGTCAAACACTTTTAACATTTGATGCATTTTCAAGTATTTCTGCAAGCACAGAATGGAGTATCCGTGGTTTTGGCATTTAGTAGTAGTGATCTGGATCTATATGATGGGAGTGCATTACTTTAAAAGAAATCTGGATAGCTGCTTATAAAAATGTTCTTCGAGGAAGGAACGCAAAGACAGCTTCAAGAGGGCTTAGAAATCTATTTGGCTTTTCTGCTGGGAGACTTGGCTGCTCATCAGTCTCTCTTTTATACTTTTGGTTCTGAGTAATGTGTTCACTTCTAGTCATGTAAAAACAACTCCCTTTGTACATTTCCATGAGATCAGTACAGATGCATTCTTATAGTTCAGTGAAGTTTGTTTGACAGTCTGTTAAAATTGTAATTGCTGAATCATCGCTGCCTGTCCATTGTGAGTAAATCCCTCTTACCTTTTGAACAACATGACTCATTTTGAAGGATACAAAAGGTATTCATTATTGTTATCTCTTCTTGGCCCAAGTAGCTGCCCACATTTTGAGATCACACAAACTGTTTCTGTTGGAAAAGAAGCTCATGATAAGAGCTCCCTGTACAGAGCTGCATTGAAGAATGTTTGAAGATCTTATTTTGTGCTTATAGGAGGATCTAAATAACAACAAATTCTTTTCCTGTACCATCACCAGGTTTCAGCACAAAATATTTGGAAGTTTTTCTAATAACCATTTTCCTAGAGCTATTTTGGGTTACATTTCATGTTTTCTTATTATTTTTTGCTATTTCTCATGTTTCTCTTCTTTCTACTTTATATAAAAGTAGATGGATATTTCCCAAAATCACCTCTTCCCAGTTCATTTCAAATCATTGCAGTCTCACGTGTACCTTTAGAGCGATGACATGTGTTTGCACAGTTAATTGAAGCCTCTCTTATGTAGTTTATCTACAAGACATTTGTTTCAACAGCCTATTTGAACTTAACCCATGCAAATACTATTCTGTATCAGCTTGGAAGAAAAGAGCATGGTGTCTGTGACTTTCACTGGGACCATCAGCTTAGATTTAATATTATGAAAATTGAGTCTCTTTTCTTTTTATTTTAGATGCTCCATCTTCTCCCCTCATCCAGACCAGCAACCTTGCTATCATACCTTTTTGTCCTATGCCCAGGTTACAGATTTGTCTGACAAGTCTATGAATTGCTTCTTTTCTGTGCACTGATCACCTTGTCTGTATAATCCTTACAAAATGTACTTTGGTAACCATATCAGTTCCAGACTTCAAAAAAAGTAAGTGTGGAAAGGAGGAAAATAATGCTCCCATGATGCTGCTTCTTCAAGTAATGTGGAGTATACAATGCTTCACCTGAGTTAATGAGTTCTGTACTTTACACTGCTCAAATTTCAAGATGGGGGAAGTCACGTCAGGCCAAAGGCGAGAACCAAATACCTGCAAACGCAAAGGAGGTTGTGCAGATTTGACTGGTCAAGCTCTCTCCTCTATGTCTATTCTGGTAGAATCAACCAGATGACCTGTGCATAACCCTAGTTTCACTGTCATATGGCTGGCTGATGAATACATGCACTAAGTGTTAAAATATTAGTTTTCTGTGGTATCCTGAGACGAGAAACTGCCTTCTGTACCCTGGGCCTCTCGAGAACCAATCTCCAGACAGCTTTCCTATTCCCTGTATTACATGTCACAGTTTCTTCCCTCCAGTTTTTCACTTGTACCATGACTCACCTCTTTTATTTTCCTTTCTCCTCTCTCCTCCCCCTGCTTAGATCTCAGCTGAGTAGTAAACAAGTGGCTTAACTACCTCCACCTATGGTCTGGCCCTATCTCCTCCCTAAGCCCCCTCTTAAGCTTTAATTACTGTCACAATCTTTGTCTCTATCATAAATAATCTGTAAAGCATCCCATTCATCTCTCACTCTTTCCTTCTTACCCTGTATCACACAACTCTCACCAGCATATGTGTACTTCAGTTCTCTGCCCCACTTGCCTTCATTTTCACTTAAGAGGAGGCAGGAAGGTGGTCTAAAGAGGGCTAAGTTTGGACACTCCTGCTTTTATTCCCCAGTGGGCTGGAAGAGTAGGACTCAATTGTGAGAATCACAAGGCAGAGGAATACACGGTATTCCTATTGCAAGATGAAACTGTTTGGCCAGACATTGGTGGTTTCCTCTCGTGTTTCAGGCCATGACTCAGGCTAAGCCAGAATTGCAGAATATGTGATGGAAATTGCAAATTGGATGGCTACATGCCAGTTAAATCTGTAAATCGGCCAGTAAGAGTGCCCCACCTGTCTAAGGAGATGATATATTCTTTGCAAGGATCTTCTGTGTTTTGTATGATGGTGAGAATCAGCCAGAATCTGAAAAAAATGAAATTTATGCTTTTTTAAGCAGCCACTAAACCACAGCTTTCTGGAACTGCTGGCGTCCTGCTGTACAGCTGTAGGTACTGCTTTTCAGACAGAAAAAAACCCTAATATATTTAAGAAAGTGGATGTTAAAACCCACATAAAATGTTGTTGATCACTCTATTTTTTTCCTTGCATTCCTAGCACAGTAGCCTATCATTCTAGAATAGGTAAATTCCATTGTCAGTGGAAATTTCACACGAAGAAGGATTTCGTAACAGTGGGTTTTGCAAGGCACATTTGTAGCAAACAAATGCCAACCATTCCTCTTCTCTACTGCAGGGTAATTGTGTTACAGTGAAAGGCTTTTAACTACGAATCTGACTGAATTGCTCAAACCCCCCAGGAGACATTCCTGGAACATGAATTTCAGTCTGGCATGCTGAACGCACTGTTCCTGCAGCTGCTGCTATCACTGACCAGATACTCTGTAGGAGGAGAGCACTTCAAGACAGTGGTGGCAAGGCAATCCTGAGAGAGTGTGGGAGAGAATAGTGCTGCTTCAGAGCATGAATAGCATTGACTAAAAGCTTCAGTACACATTTTAGAAGTGTTATAAGAAGTAGCAATTTCGTACACAAAACACCCATCTCTATAATGAGTCACTGACTGTCATTCTGCTGACCACAGCCTTCTAAGTGCTTCACTGTTTGGTTAATCTGAGAAATGTAATAAAAAAGGAAGCACTTTCTAATTTTTCAGATTACTTTCAAACCCCAAATCAATTAAATTCTGTCGTGTACTATACTACTTATAGCAATGATCAACTGTGTATCAAGGACTGCCCTTTCTCAACAGTGTCTGGTTCATACACTTATTTAATGAACATAAGCACGAGAAGGTGCTTATTATGCAGTAGCTGTCATAATTTTGATTTATACTTATGAAAGCATGGTGTTGGCACTAAGCTCCTGGAACCTTTTCCTTTTCATCTTGATGCCCTGCCCAAAAGAAATTAAGAGGCCCTGTCGCAGTTCTAATTTTCTTCTGGAAAACAATACAGAAACACACTTCAAATAATATTATTCTCTTACCCTAAACAGCTGTGTACATAAGGAAAGGACACAAGACTTAAAGAGTCCTTCTACAGATACTGTCTCTTATCATCTTTTTATCTGATATCAATTACTAAACTTTGTGTTCCCAAACTGAACTCACTCTTCAGAAAGTTCAAACTAGCATTTTAAATGCTCTCAGCTCCATTTAGGAAGACCTGTGCTGCTCAGAACCCTCTTCTCCCTTCCCAGGGCTGACCACTTTCTGAGCAAGGGAAGAGGCTTTACAAGAACCAGTCCTAGCACACAGCTCTTTAGGTAGTAAAACAGAGCAAGCTGAGAACAGCGTTTTAATTTCTCATTGTATCATCTGTGTACCGGCATGTTTCTGTGAGTAATCTTTTTATTTCTGTTCAGGAAGAAGTAGGTGCAAACCTAAACAAAGCAATAGGAGACAGGATACTTATAACAAAGTGACTCATTTCTTTTTGGCCAGTGGATTGAGATGAAAAACAAAAGATTTCCGAAGCTGTATGACACACACAACCAATATCCTCCTTCTCTAACGGTATTTCAAAGAACAGTAATGCATGAGAAAATCCCTAAAACTGTTCAACAGCATCTTTCAAAAATATAAGTGCACAGAGGGCTGAATACTGTTCTGATAAGCAAAATATTCTAATGCACAGGATTTTAGAGTTGTGCCAGAAGATAAATGGATGTGCAGGGGCAGTTTCAGACACTTACCCATTGTTGCAAGGTCACAAAGTCCTAGACGATGTAAGAGTTCATCCATGCTCACAGGAACACAGGTGCCACAACAGCCTGAAAGAGAGAAAATGGGCAAAGTGACAGTTCAAAGTGGAAGTCCATAACAAAAGTATTTGAAATCTAGGATAACAAGGAGCCAGGCTATAGGGCCAGGGACATGGGAAATACTCTGAATGAAGGAAACTCACAACACTTTTGTGAAATATATTCTTTATGTCTAGACTGGGATCAACCACGTTCTCAACAGCTTTTGGGGGGCTGTTATAAATGTACTGGGCTTTGTTCTGGTGCTGTAACTCAGGGAGGCCTCCCATCATGTACTTGCAAAGAAGTATAAAGGCACTCGAATATGCAAGTAGTCCATTAAGGCATTTTTATTTTGTCATTTCCTCTGAGAACAAAAATCGTACTCTATTGGCTGTTTATTTTAAAGGATCCTTCAAGAACACACCATAAGTCCTATGAAGAGCTGCTTTTGTCCATTCAGATTTGGAATCTTTCAGATTTGTATAGTAATAAACAGCTGTCATTACTGGGGTATTGGATGTGATCTCAGAGCGTGCATTTTAACTGCATCCTCATGCAACTCAGCAGTGAGAGATCAGAGTCAAAAAGTGGCATTAGGTCATCCAAACAGATCTCAAAGCTGGAGGATAGGGATTTCAGATCATCTGAAATTCTGCAGTCAAAACTTGCCAGGTGTATACAAGCTGTAAATGTTTTCAGATCCCACATAGTAAGAGCTCCAGAATGGGAAAAAAAAAATCTGCTCAGGGTTTAACACCTAGAAGGCATTTGGCTTTAAAAGTTAGATTTTGAAAAGAAGCAGGAACTTCTGAAACTCATTATTGTTTGGCCTGATAGACAACAAAAGCTGAAAAAATATTTTCCTACATCTCCCTTGCTCTCTTTCAAAATGGGGTCTGAGCTCTGTCAGGAAATCTAACAGATCTCACATGTTTCTTCTGCATTCAAGCCTAGTAGAAGTGATACCTACTTTTCTCAAGTCTGTTGAATGACACAGGTACAGGTTGCAGGCACAAAGTGTATTTTGGCTCATGGGATTGTATCTAAGCTAAATGTTGCTCCTGGTTGAGAGAGCCTTTATTGGCCTGAAAACAGCCCCCAAAAAGCTGCTGGACTGCAACCAAGGAGGAGGATGACAGTCTGAGGAAAACACTAGGCTTATAATTCTTTTATTTCTCATTTATGCTGTTTACAATTCTGAGAGCTCCTTGTCTTGTCATCAAGTCTCTTACCAAGCTCAGCCAAGAAGCAGCCTATTTAGTTTGCTTTTGTTGAAGCTCCTTTTGCCTATAGCTATAACATTTGGGGGGGGTTAGCTCATAAAGGTAGATCTTAACTCTTCAGAAACCATCATGTTAGGTATCTGTCTTACAGATGTACAATGACAAGGATAAAAAGAGCATAGATAGGAGTTGTCCTCTCCCAAATACAGAAAAACCCCTGCAAGTGGGAAATCTTACAATGTTGTGATGCATGTAGCCCATACAAATGTGATTAGTACACAACAAGGGTAGGACCTGTGTAAGATTAATTACTATGCCTGAGGAACATGCATTCTCCAAAAGAGCACAGAATAGCCAAATAATACTGGGGATCTCAGTGAGCTAATCAAAATACATGTAGGTCAGCACTAATGATGTGAGATTGCTCACAGCACCCCAGATAGTTCAGGTGTCTCATTCTGTTGTTCAGACTCTTAAAGAACAGTTTAAAACATTGGTTCAAATGGGAATTTTTTAAAAATCAAATTTTATTCCTTTTTATTGAAACTCAAGATGGTGTCTTTTTAATGTCTGTGTCAAAATATGAAAACACAAACCAAATTCTTTAGATGGCCAAAATAGATATTTTCAATTTATGTTTTAAAAAAATAGTTGTTTTTTTTTTTAAATTGGAAACTGATAAAAATTGTTATAAAAATTCAAACTCCCTAACTCTTCCAAGAAGTAATTATAACTGCAAACAAAGAATTTATTTGAACATTTTCTGAATGTAGCTTTCATTCTGTACCTTGACAGTTTGGGAAAAGAGATACAGTATTCATCATACATATTAAGGTGATGAAGGCAGAAATATTGTCTTGGCTTTCAAAGTGCTCAGCATATTTTAATAAGATGGTGTAATATGGCCATGTGTGCAGGCATATTGATTTTTTAATTGAAAATCTCATTGGTTTCTATTTTAAAAGGATGAAAGATGTCTACCAAAGCCCCTCAACAATTAAATAATAACTGCATATTGCACATTTTCATACGTGAATATTAAATTTTTCCACACTAGAGTTAATTTGATGTGACATCAGTGAAAAGCAAAACAGACTTCTTTTGTGGTTTTAATGACCTCTTGGTCTTTTAGATTCAAAATGCTATTACAAAAAACACCTAACAGGTACAACCCTGCAGAACTCCCATAATATTGGCATTATGAAGTTTTCTAACTTGGACTTTGCACATCTTGCAAGGCAGCTAGTCACAAAGTTGGAAACTTAATTTCTGCTTAAAATTCTGGACTCAGAAGTAAATTTCAGGTGCAGCCCCCATTTTTTTTCCAGTAGAGTTGTGATCTTATGATACTCCTTTAAAGCCACTGGTGACTAGTAGCTTGAAAAGTATTTTTCACCACTTTTTTTTGAGTACTTGTCTAGAGACAGTAGCTGAAATACTGGTTCAGATTGTAGAAATGTATAATTTCATGGGAAATTACTCATGGGATAATTAGCATGGCATTCTCAATGAATGTGCATTATTGACTGTTCAGATCTCTTTATACTTGAAAGGTGTAGAAACTTTTTGACCTTCAATAAATACCTATACAGCTCAAGGGTATAAACCAGGACATATATCATCCTGCTTTTGAGAAAAGTTGCTTCCTGTATAAAACTGAACTCTATAAGAATTCCTAGCTCAGGACAGAGTTGAACAGTAGCTCTGCTACCTTCCTTCATCCAGTGAGACCCAGAGAAAGATGAGAAGGAATAGGATTAGCAGGGATGGAGGAACAGCAGGAAAAACACTTTGCATAACATACTGCCTTAAAGTCACAGTAGGTGTACACAGAACTTCATGTTGCCAATGCTACTATATCATTGGGAAGAAGTTTTTTTTGACTGGTTCAAGTGATGGGTTACTGTGTTCAACACAGATATATAAGTCTGTATTACTGGGACAGTAGCATTCCCATTGCCTGTGAAGGCGTACTTCTAAATATGTAAGTAAGAAGCCATTTTCAGTTTTATAAAGAAAAAATGTAATTGAAAAGTATTTCTTGAATTCATTCCATATCTTGTGCTCTGTATAATCATGTGGAACTATTCGAAGTTTTTGGAAATGTTTTGCCTGGACTCAGCTTTATCAAAGGTTCCACTAATTCTTTTGGTGAGGATGTTTCAGTTTCATATTGGTTTTTTAAATTTTGATATATAACATGTTGCAGATTAGTAAAATACATCTTCCAAATAAATACAGACCTTTTAGTTGGGGGCTGAGGGGGAAGATGATGTTGAGTAAACTGTATTTCCGAGTTGTGAATAACTGAAATGGTGTTTCTAAGTTGCTTAGTTACAGTTTCTGTTTACTTGGCAATGGAGTTCACTGAAAATATTTTAGCTTCTGCTCCTGACAGCTACAAACGTGCATTCACATGTAATCTTATAAACTAATACACTGTTAAATGGATGCCCAAAACACCTCCTCAAATGTGAGCAATGGATAGCGTTGCCAAGTTGCAAAGTCAACACTGAACAGCACACTCACGCTCAGCTAATTACAAAAAGTTTTCACCGGTTGGTTCATTTCTTCAGCTGTTAATAGTCTGCCCGGCCATATGCAGAACAAAGTTCAAGGGTAAACACTGAACAAAAAGTTCATGAACAATTTGCTAGACTAGTTGGCAGAAGCCAGGCTGCACTAATGGCCCCAGGAGACTGATGCTGACTTTATGCCAACTTCAAATCTCTGCTCAGCCTCCCCAGTTTACCAAAAAAGCTACTTTTCCTTTCAGCCACACTGATAAGGGCAACACGAGGAAGCCTGGTATATGACTAATGCTTACCAAGTGTTACAAGGCTTGTACGGAGGGAAATACGCAACCTTGTGACCCTGACTCAGAATAGCCAAGTTCCATCTGCTCTGGAACTTCAAATGGTAAGAAGACCTCCATTTCTTACTGGACATGTTTGGAGGTAGGGTAAGGAATGTCAATGACTTCAATCTTGTTCATTTTAAGCTGCAAAATTTTCATTAAAATAATCAAAAAAATACCCTAAACCTTTCTGAGAAGAGTCAATCTTAAGAGATCAAGACAACCCTCAGATTTGTAGCTTAAAGGATGTGATTTAAATGCAGTCAGGAGTCAAAAAGTAAAGAAAGACTTGGTTGTATTGGCAGATGAAGTAACTTCAGAGTTCAGAGAGCTGCGGGAACACAAAATGCAAATGGAGCAAATGGGTCCATTTACAACATACAGGCAAAATGTTGTATTATCACGACACAACATACCACATATGCATGTTGTTAGGACTAAAATATCTATGGAATTTGAAAAGTTCTCAGGAAGTATTTCACAACTCAAGGAGCTGCATTCAATACAGCAAAATCCTGTGAGATCCTATTTCAATAAGTAAAGAAAAACTAACCATAGTGTTTAAAATTAGTGGTAGCTTATCTTGAAAGGATCAGATGATCACATTTTTTATCTGCAAACGGAAACAGTGAGAACTACTTAGAAATATACAGTTGGTGAACTTGGGGCTGAGACAAACAATTATAACAACATTTTTTTTACTTTCTGGGAGCATGAATCATCTTCATAAAGTTTTATATGGTAAAAATGTGATATAAGTCATGATACATTCAATACTTTTCCTTTATTTTTTAACACATGACTTTATCCAGGGAAAGCTCAGAAACCACAACTACAGAATCTCAGAAAACTAGAGAAGAAGAATGAACAGGTACTATAGATTACAGCATATTCAGCATATTAATCAGAGCCTGACAGAGTTTTTCACTACGATAGTTTTTCATTAT